GATTACCTTCTTTGACTTTTGTTTTCCTCTTGCTGGATTACATCAAGATCAAGGACATTCGGAGGTGTAAGTTCATGTTGGAATTCATCCCCATGGACAGGCGATGATTTCCAAAGGGGGGACTGTAGTGAACTAGGCCTCTGACAACAATCTGTCTCTGAAGACCTTCATGGGACAGGAACTGTTATTTCATTGATTTGAATCCAGAAATACAAATTAGCTCATCGAGAGACTGTTTAATTGTATCCTGAATTAATCAATTGAAAGAACACTCTTCTTTTTGATAATCAAAGTGTGTTTAGTTCATACCATTTCTAAATGTTGAAGTGAACCACTCATTTTAAATCAACTGTGAAACAGTATTAATGATTTTTAAACCTCAGTTAAATTGGAAATCAAGTTAAATGCCTATTTACAAAGTAAATATGCATTTTGATCTTCTGTCTGAATGAGAAGTAGTGATGTCAGTCGAAAATCAGAGACAGACAGAGACAAGTTATTAGAACGAAGTGTCTTGTTTTTAAACCTAGCAGACGGTAAAAAGGAAGCAACTGGCACCTGCTTCCTCTCACTTCTTCAAAACATTTCTCTGTCGGTACTAATCGTTCCTAAACATTCCTGCATCCTCTCTTGACTTTTAATAACCCTCTGACATCACTAGAACCACCCCCTGTTGGTTGCTTCAACCAATCAGGAAGTACCAAGTGACCATAAGTGAGGACTCTTTAAAAGTCAACACTTCCAGGAACTATTCAGTCTTCCCGGAGTCTTCCTTGAGTCTTCTGAGTCTTCTCGAGTCTTCAGTCTTCTTCAGGCTTTGACCAAAGTTTTCCTGAGTCTTTCTTGGGACTATGGAGTCTTCCTGAGAGTTCCTAAGGAACTTTCAGATTTAATCAATAGTTGATGGATTTGACTGTGAGACGAGGGTCCGTCCATCCCAGCGGAGTTACAGCACCTCGCTGTGAACTCACCCGGGTGTAACGCCCTACAACTTTGAAGGAAGCTTGTTTGTTTAACGGAGTAAATCGTCACGACTTCTGACAATGACCAGCCGCTTTAACCGGAGACGCTGGAAAGGTAGCATGCATAGGGACATCTATACCGGAGCTGATCCTCATCTGCAAAGGTAAAAAGACGTCACGAGTGTCGCACACTAAGTGTACCGGAGGGTTGAGCTGGTGTTGGAAGAAGCGTGCTAATTCTGGTCAAAAACATACATCTTCCTCCATCCATCTTCTTTTAAACCTCTAAATCTCTCCTCTTGCAAACCTCTTCGTCAGTAAATCAATCTAGATGCCTTCAGAAATGTTCTGTTGTCTTGTTAGTAAAGCGTGCCAAGTTTTTATTAATCAGAACCAGATCAGCAAATCAAGGTGTACATGTTTTGATGTTAAATTTTGATTCTGTTAAATAAATGACCGCATTTATTCTGATGGGTCAAAGAAAAATTGCGTCTCATGTCACTGATTAAACAATCCTCACAGTTGTCTCGGTCACATGGCATTAATTTAACTAGAAAAAGAAAGAATCTGTTGTATTTAAATAATTAATATTCTTTGTGCTTGCACTAGCTTTAAGAATAATTAATTAGTAGTGAAGCTGACCCCCACATTCACTACAAAAGTGTTATGGATGACTGAATACAAGTAAATATCGATAATCAGGAAAGATGCAATTCATGATTGTAAAGACTATTGATTTTTCTATAATGAGATGAGCTAAATTTTAGAGGTTGTTTTGGATGATAAATTATAAAATAGGCTGGAATATTGAATATAATATAAGGAGCAAAAACCTTGCCAGACATTTTACTTCTAAATCACAAAATGTTCAGTGACAGAGTTACTGACAGATTAAATCAAATCTATAGATGTGTTTTTATCTCAGGTAAAATTTTTACAAGTGCTAACAGAGTTGGAATACACTATTTTTACTTATTTTTAATTATTCTTAAATGGATACCTACAGAAAATATATAATAATGAATTCTAACAACTTCTAACATGATTTAAGACATAGCATTTTTAGAGTGATGTTGTATAAGACTTATAAATGACTTGTGAAATTTGGTGCATGGAGACAAGAGAAAAACAATAAGTGTTGCTGATAAAATGCTAAATGTGATGACTCAATTCAGAAAATCTTGACAGGAATAGGATGATGGGTAGAAGGATGGACTCTGTCTGGCTAGTTGCCAGCAGGGTGTTTGTGCTGTTTGTGTCCCTTATCACCTGTTCAGGTTATCTAAGCTGAAGAAGCTCCAGGAAGGTGAACACAGGGGTCACCTGTGCTAGTTTGTGATCAACGATCCCAGAGAGGTGTCAGATGAGTATGAACCTGCAATATGAATGATTGACATACCCATAATGAATGATAATTGATAATTATATATTGATAATGAGAATTATATAAATTTAGAAAGATTACTGATGGATTTTTGTGATATTGTGGGTGAAGGATGTTTGTTCTTTTTTCCCTGATAATGCAGCTCCAAACGAGACGCAGACAGAGGTGTTGCAAGTCCAATGACGGGTTTGAAGGATGGAGGCCGGACAGATGTCTGAGGAAATGCCCCTGATGAGGGGGAATGGAGTGGAGTGCCAGTGGGGAATAGTCACCGGTTCTACTCCCTGAGCTGAGAACATCAAATGAGGGTGTTATCATTTAACATGAATGAGGGTTCTTTAAGGTTCATACTGATCTGGCTGTGACAGTTTATTGACATCAAATTGACATCACTTATCATTATTAACATCTAATTAACGTTACCAGCACAGTAAAGGGCTTTCTATTTTCTGATTTTGCTTTAAAACATATAGATGGAGGAGCGTCTTTAAAATATATCTTTAGCCAATCAAACACTTTGAAACTGTGAACTTACTGATTATATTAAGCTATGAGTTAATAAATGATTATTGCTAGACTAGAGTTTTGGGATTTTTACATGTACTGAAATAATTATAGAACACTGTTTTGACATTACAAATATTTATAGGTTGTGTTTATAATGCTAATCAATGATGTGATTATATCTAAAGCTAAGTCTTGGGGATTTTTGAACGATAAATTAGAACAACTGCTATTATGGATATAAAGCAATATTTTGAAAGTAGAGTTACAAATTTCCTATCTGTTTATTAATTCCAAAACTGATTATTTGAATGTGGGAGTAGAAACTTACAATTTTTATTTGAAACTAAAAGGGTTTTTTAGAGTAAACTTCTTGATGTTATAACTAAGTGGACCGTCCTAGTAGTGTGTTACAACCTAACAGGGAGGAAGTCAAACACGGGTGAATATAACAGGAAATTCAACAGATAATATGAAGCTAAGTTCTGAGTAAATTTTTAACAATTAAATACAGATGTGTTCTTTTGAATTGTTGTTAATTTGAATTTTGAACTCAACATTAATTGGGTGACAGATCTTCTCCAACTACTTTGAGAGATGAGATGATTGATGGACTGACTAATTTTGGGGTGGGTTAAATATTAACGTTTACAGTTTATGTACATTATTATGAGGCGTTACGATGATTTTTTCCTTAAAATTAACATGGTTGAACAAGATACATTTGCATGGTACTTAGCTAAATATTACATTTTAATGATTACTTGATGATTTCTTTATTTAATGACTATTTGATGTATGACTATTTCTTTTTCAGATGGACAAAATGGATCAGGCCTGTCCTTGGAGTCAAAAAGAGAAGTTCAGGTTCTACAAAACTGATGAACATCTATTAGATAAGAACGCTTTCTTGCATTAGGACGCCTCCTGCAATTATTAAATCATGTATTTAGAGCTCAGACTTAGACAAATGTTAAGCGAAAGTTCCATTGTGTTACATTGTACCACACCAGGGGGATGCTGAAGTCCTAGGCAGATGTCCAGGGCTGGGCCAGGGGACCTGAGGCAGTCAGGTCACACGCTAGCCGTCAGCTCTGGCATCTTATTTTGACATGAGGCTGCCAGGTCACACGCTATAGCCTGTAGGCATCTCCTGCCAACATATAAGGAGTAGATTATATTCAACCAGAGGAAAAATGATGAATTGCTTGCTTATCTGGCGGTATTGAACTGGGAGTTTTTATATGAAGGAACCCCTTTGGGGACCCTCGCCCAGGGGGAGTTGTTAAAATATTTTTGGACTGGTCCTATGGTTTTGATCTGCTCAGAGACGGGATTATAATGAAATTATGACCCGGTTCTGACTGGGTTAAACTGGGTCAGCATCTCCAAAAAGAGTCTCCCTGGGATTAATATCTGTCATGGAATAGAGTTTAATCTGCTTGCCACATCACCTAGAAAGGCTTTTTGAAGCACCGTCTCATATTTCCCAACACATAAGATCCAATGAGATCACACTTAGTCAAGCCCCCTCATACACTGACAGGTTGAGCTCCCCTTCTGCGAAGGAGGAGTCCAGGACCCTATAAATGAGTAATGACACGGGACATCTGGGCTCTTCTTCCGGGTCTGTGAACGCGTCACAGACGGGAGAGTCCAGCGCTGTAAATTGTAACCTTTTCCTGCCTTTTTTAATATAATTGATAAAACTCAATTTACTTTTCCTTGACTTATTGATAATGAGAGTTGCCACTTTTGAGGGAGGTTCGAGCCGTGGGGAACGACGTGGGCTGGAGGTGGTTTCCGGGTCCGGTGGCCCGCAGGCAGCGCCCGTCCTTAACAGTACCGACAGTTTTCGAGTGGTGGGGGTGCGTTCAGCGTGAGGGTTCAACATGAAGGAAGAGGCTGCCTTTAGCTTTTTAGCTAGTGCACCTGCATTGCCGCTAGTTTAGCGTTAGTTCAGTGATGACAGGTGGGTGGTGGTGGTGGGGGGGGTCGGTAGACGGGGCGCTCGGCTCTGTTAACGGGGCGGGGCGCCCCGCTTGTATAATGGTAGGGGAAACACTGCCTCGCCCAGATTTATCTGCTGTCAGGTACATATCTTAAAGAGTCACACAGAAGTCATTACAGCACACCAAGGGTTGTTCTACCTGAACTTGGGCTGTAGTGGTTTAGCTGGTTGGCCACCCATGCACTATCCTGCATTACACTCTCCGTCTTCAAGTCTGCATGCATTCCCAGATGGATCCACACATGTGGATGGATGGATGGATAGATGGATGGATGGATGGATAGTTGAAGGAATGAGACAATCAGAAGGAGAGAAGAATTTTCAGTTAAAGTACAAAACATCTGTATACTTTACTGTGTACCAAAGCATGCTTTTTAAATACGACTCAGACTGAATGGTACAGGAATGGGGGATCTTTGCATTCAATGGAAAAAGTGCATCCAGATAAGGAAACTTCATAAACTGTTCTCATACTAAATCAACTACAGTATTTTACACTAAAAATGACAACATATACACCGGTATGAATACATGTATTAATATCAAACACAGGCTTTCCACATCTTGATTGTTGTTTTGCGACAATATAATCTCATTGTTAAAAAACGTTGTGTTATAGGACCTTCCTATCATTGCAATCAAACTTGTGGCTGCAGTCAAATCTTTACAAAGAGGTCAAAGCACAGGTCCATATGGATTAAGATAAGATATAACTTTATTGATCCCACAGGAAACTGTTGATTCCCATCTGAATTTAAAAAATAAACTTTTAGAAGCAGCTGGCCCAAATCTTATTAAAGATGTTGACTCCGTTTTTCAATGCAGTCATGCTACCCCAAACCTAAAACAGACTTTTATGTTGCTGCTTTTGAAAATGAGTAAAGACCCATTATATTCCGTTTGCACTGTCCCATCATGATTTAAAAATTACTATTATTTTTTTACATGTAAAATGTTTTTTAAAATCGCTTCCACCGTTCGTCGCAGACCCGTCTCTGTCCGCCTGTCTGCGTGGGTCGGGCCTTCATGATTACGCGTGGCTAGCGTCTTCGAACGGCCTTTGCGAGTCACCAGCTGAGCTCGAAGCTGGGAAGATGAGCCTGCCAGTCCTGTCTCCAGAGGAGAGGATCATGTGAGACCAGCAGAGCTGGTCATAAAAAAAAATATATATATATATTTTAGCGTTGAAGATTAAAAAAATAATAAAATAAACGGTGCCAGCTTCATCATGAAATCCTGTTTTCACTTTAATGACTGTTAACTCAGCTGAAAATCATAAAAAGACACAAAACTATTGGATCTCAGGAATATTTCCCTCAAACATGTTTGAAGAAAAGAGACGACCTTCAGTTCAACTTTATTTTAACCCACAAATGTACAAATCACAAAACAAGAACTTTAAAGCAAAGCTAAAAATAAACTGTATATATGTGAACAAGAAAGAAAACCACACATCTAAAATGAACATTAAAAGTAGACACGAGTGCAAATACATCAAATGATGATGAAAACCTATAAAAATTTTAATGTAGATGTTTTTGTAGAATCTGTTCATCAGAGATTTAATTTATATACATACATATTTATATCTATAAATATATATATATATAAATACATATATATGTATATATATAAATACATATATGTATATAAATACATGTGTGTATATATATACATATATAAATACATATATATATACCATACCATACCAATTTATTTATATAGCACTTAAAACAGCAACAAGGCCAACCAAAGTGCTGTACAAAAGAAATAAACATGTACAGCAGACAGGAAAACATAAAATAGAAATACAGATACAAATAGCAGCAGAAGCTAACTAAAATGGCCAACAGAGTAGAGAACAGACCGGACCAAAACAAATCACACCGTGTTAAAGGCAAGAGAATAGAAGTGGGTCTTCAAGCGAGACTTAAAGACTGAGAGTGTGGGAGCCTGCCGGACACTCAGTGGCAACTCATTCCACAGTCGTGGACCTGCAACAGAGAAAGCCCTGTCACCTCTGAGCTTACGACGGGTTTCTGGGACTGAGAGAAGCATCTGGTCTGCTGACCTCAGAGAGCGCGGTGGGACATAGGGCTGCAGAAGATCAGTGAGATAGGATGGGGCGGAACTGTTCAGTGATTTAAAAACATACATGAGAATTTTGAAATGGATCCGAAGGTGAATGGGTAGCCAGTGCAGGGAGGCCAAAACTGGCGTGATGTGCTCTCTATAGCCTGTACCAGTTAAAAATCGGGCTGCAGCATTTTGGACCAGTTGTAGACGAGCAATGGAGGACTGACTGATTCCAAACAGAAGTGAATTGCAGTAATCAAGCCTAGACGTTATGAAGGCGTGGATCACTGTCTCAAGGTTCTTTTTGGAGAGTATAGGCTTCAGCTTAGACAGCCGTCTCAGCTGAAAAAAACAGGATTTGACCATCATGTTTACGAGACTGTTGAGTTTTAAGGACGGGTCCATTATCACCCCCAGATTAGTGACCTTTTGTTTCTCTAGCGGGGCTAGAGAGAAATGGTCAATGTCATGGTTCATGAGTGAGCCACTGGGATGGAACAGCATGACTTCAGACTTCTTCTCATTGAAGCTTAAGAAGTTTAAAGCCATCCAGTCCCGGATGTCAGCCAGGCAGTCAAGAAGAGGCTGAATAGAGCGTGTGCCTCTGTGCCTCAGGGGGAAGTAAATTTGGCAATCATCGGCGTAGAAATGAAAGGGTATGTCGTGTTTGCGGAAGATAGCACCTAGTCGCAGCAGGTATAAAGAAAAGAGAAGGGGACCGAGGATGGACCCCTGCGGTACCCCCCACTGGAGCGCTGTCGATGCCGAACTAGAATCTTTGATATTGACACAGAAGGTTCTGTCAGATAGGTAGGACCTAAACCATTTAAGGGCTGACCCTGTGATGCCCACCCACTGCTCCAGTCTAGAAATGAGGATCTCGTGGTCGATGGTGTCAAAAGCAGATGTAAGGTCCAATAGGACCAACAGCACAGAATCACCTGCGTCTGTGGAAATGAAAATGTCGTTAAAAACCTTCAGTAGAGCAGTTTCAGTGCTATGGCGAGATTTGAAGCCAGATTGGAATAACTCTAGGATAGCGTGATCCCCCAAAAACTGTTTCAACTGAGACTCCACAATTTTTTCCAGTAGTTTAGAGGTGAATGGGAGTCTGGAGACAGGCCGGAAGTTGGACATGACTGAGGGGTCAAGGTTAGGTTTTTTCAGGAGGGGCTGGACAGCAGCATGTTTAAAAGTCTTTGGCACCACACCTGAGAATAAACTGCTATTCAGAATAGCGAGGATAAAAGGACCCAGGGTAGGAAAAACTTCCTTTAGTAGTCGAGGGGGGACCACATCAAAGGGGGAACCAGATGGTTTCATGCTGCACATTACCTGCTCCAGAGAGGACAGAGAGATGGGCTCAAAGTGGTCAAACACAGCCACACACTGAGATGGGATGGACAGATCATGAGCTGGTGGAGAAATGAGTGCCCGGGTGTTTGCCACTTTTTCTAAAAAGAAATGGAGGAAGTTTTCACACAGCTCAGTTGAGGCTTCCAGAGGTGAAGGCTCACTGAGGTGTAGAACTGAGTTCAGGGTGGAGAAGAGAACTCGGGGTTTGTGGGAGTTGGAGACAATTAAATCAGAGAAGAATTTACATTTGGCAGCTTTAACGGTTTTCTGATAGTGCCGCCAACTCTCCCTTAACATTTGAAAAGACACCTGGAGCCTGTCCTTCCTCCACTTTCGTTCAGCTCTGCGACACTGCCGCCTAACGGCTCGCGTGACGTCATTCAGCCAAGGCTCTGATTTAAGTTTTGTTTTTCTGGTCTTAAGGGGAGCAACACGGTCCAGAACATTTAAACAGGCAGAGTTGAACTGAGAGGTTAGCTCCTCAGTGGTAAGAGACTCGATCCTCTCAGAATTAAAACCTTCATTAAAATGAGCAGCAGTGAAACGGTTAATGGAACGCGTACGTGCAGGAACGCGCGTCTTAGCAGTAGGACAAGGGGGGGTGAGGTCAAACAATACAGGCATGTGATCTGAAAAAACATTGTCACCGATTTTCAAATTAGAAACAGAGACATCGCGTGTTAAAACGAGGTCCAGCGTGTGACCATGTTCCTGGGTGGGGCCGCTCACCTGCTGAGCTAAGCCAAAAGAGTCCAGTAAATCTAGAAAGTCCTTCACTAAGGGCTTCTCCTGACAACACACATGCAAATTAAAGTCACCAATAAACAAAAAGTGAGTGTATCTCTGTGTGATATCAGCCAAAAAGTCAGAGAATTCATTTATGAAGTCCTTAGAACGAGGTGGGCGGTAGATGAGTGCACACAGGACCGGAGGAGAGTGTCCAAGTTCAAAGGCGCTCAGCTCGAAGCTGGCGCGGGACACCGGGATGGACAACTGTTTACAGGCAAAGTTTGCTTTAAAAACTGTTAATAATCCCCCCCCGCGCTGACCTGATGGCCGCGGGGCATTGAAACACAGACAGTCCGGGGGTAGTAATTCCACCAAGGCGCTGGACTCACCATGATAAATCCAAGATTCCGTGACGAACAGAAAATCCAACTCCTCATCTTTAAAAAAGTCATTGAGGATAAACGTCTTGTTGGAAACAGACCTTGCGTTGATTAAACACATCCTGATATTGTCCAACACAGGCACAGCCGCGGATGGAGACGCGCGCGCCAGCGGGCGCAGGTTATGAAGAACAGCTCCTCCTGGTCTGCTGGTGCGGCGCACAGGTAAACAACTCCAGGTGTTTCCATGGACTGAGTGCGCGGGCAGCTGGCCAGCAGCCGGGCCCCGGGAGCACCACGGGTCAGAGAGGAGATGATCAGATCCAGAGCGAGTCCTGAAAGAATAATCCACTCTTTGCCTCAGTTTCACCAAAATCCCTGCACGCTTCCCACGACGTCTGCGACGTTTCCTCCATGGAGAAAGGCCAGGGTCACCCAGAAGGAACGCAGGAATCTCAGATAGGACCGGTGGGGGAGAGTGCTGGCCGCTGTTCAAAAACTACGCAGGAATTTCAGCAAAAGTACGGAGCTCCAAAAGTGCCCGACGATCATACTGAAAATATGACTCGGCACACTGCACAAACCATTGTAAAAATAACAAAAATATTTGTTTGTTATTTGTAATAATGTTTTTAGTATTTTACCTTGTTTTACAGCACCCTGATTTACTGTTTTATAACACTACTCTTATTTTAACTGCATTTTTACTGTAGTTTATTGTTATTTCTGTGTATTGTTATTGTTGTCTGTACTTTATATGTTCTGTCTGGAACAGGTCTCTCTTGTAAATGAGTCCCCGTGGCTCTATGAGGCTAGCCTGTATAAATAAAGGTTGAATGAAATAAGTGTATGTGTGTGTGTCCAATTAGGCCCTCTGACCCCAGCACCAGGGGCAGAACTGCACTTCCTGATTTCTGCTACAGCTAACGTGAGGTCTATTATTTCAACATAAACAGGTGTGGTATCCACAGAAACCTGGGAATTTTGGCTAAAAGCTCATAAATCAATTTCTACACAAACTTAACACCCAAACTCTAAAACATTCACTTTAAGACCTTTATAAGTAATGTGGTAAGTAATGTGGCAATATGCTTCAGGGTCGTTGTTCATTTAGAATAACCATTTGGGCCCAAGCTTCAAATTCCTGACTGCAGTAATGTTTCCACATGTTCATTCCTCATTATGTATTCTGTGAAATGCAGCTGAACACCCCTACAACACGATGCTACCACCTCCATGCTTCACATTTAGGCATGTGTTCTCAGCTCTGTGAGTTTCCCCGTTTTCTTCCGATGTAACCACAGTCACTGTGGACTAACAGTTCAATGTTAGTTTCATCACACCCCAAGATATTTCACACACTGTAAACTGAGCTACTGTTTTTTAATCTGTGACCCTATGTTTTAAATGCCTTTTTATTAATACTTCAGTTATTATTATTAGTGTATTGTACGTATATATATATTTCCCTTTAATTTTACTCATTGATTGTTGTTGTTGTTAAGCACTTTGATAACAGGTTCTGTTTTAAATGTGCTCTATAAATAAAGTTGACTTGACTTGACATGACATGTCTGCAGTGCAGACATTAAGCTTTTTGTCCATGTGCACGTTTGCAAACTGTAATCTGAATTTTAATGTTGATTTGTTGGTCCAGGACTTGTTGACAAGCTTCAGCAGCAACAAGGTCTTTAGATTTAGTCTTGGAACTGATATGCACATTTCATCCTACAACACCTTCTTGAGCAGCCTGACAGCAGGACACTGTGTCTCTACTTGTGTATCATTATTTGAACAGATAAATGTGGTACTTTCAGGCGTCTGGAAACTATTCCCAATGATGAACTAGTCGGAGAGGTCCACAAGTCTCTTCCTAATAATCTAGTTGTCTTTCTCATTTTCTCCATGTTATCAAAACAAAAAAGCAGTGTGTTTGAAGTGTATCTTAAATGCATCCACAGTGTCAATCTCAAACTTTATGGATGTTTTTAACTACCATGGCTGAGAATGTTAACTGCCCATGAACCATGTGTTTTCGTTAGCAGAGAGTTCTTTTCTCACTCAGAGAGAGCTGAATGAGGAGCTGATTTGATCCTGCATGTGCAGCTGGCAGTCTGAGGTCTGTCTGTGAGCTGAGAGAGCTGATAAACTTAAAAAAACAAGCCTGATATGCTGCCCGTGACAAAGTCTCATGACTGGGCTCCATGCATGTAGAACTTCTGTACATCTGTGTAACCTGTTGTGAAATCTACCTTCGCTGGTTAAAAATCATCCTGTGCCCTTGAGTGTGGCTTTTTTAAGATGAATAGAGGATATTTTTATCCAACATTGCCAGCTAAACAACTAACAGCTTCCAAAGCATATTTGTCGATTCCTACGAATATTTGGGTATCTTGGTCAATTCACATCTCTCTTTTAAGCTTCACGTGGAAAACCTAGTAAGGAAACTGAAAGTTAAACTGGGTTTCTTTTTCAGAAATAGACCCTGTCTAACTCTGAACGCTAGGAAACGCTTTGTAACTGACTTTCATTCCCTCCATTGATTAAGGTGATATTATTTACATGAACGCTCCTACAAGCACCCTGCAGATGTTGGATGCTGTCTATCATGGTGCACTAAGATTCATAACTGGCTGTGAGTACCATACCCACCACTGCACTCAGTATTCACTGGTTAACTGGTCATCATTAACTTCATGCAGACTCTCTCACTGGTACATTTTCACCTTCAAATCACTTCTTGGTCTGCTGCATTTATACATCTCCTCCTACATGTCTCTGCATGAGTGCAGCTACAGCGTGCGCTCTCAGGACATTATTACATGCAGTGTTCCCTCAGTGAGGACCGAACTAAGCAAAAGAGCCTTCTCCTACTCCGCTCCTGTTCCCTGAAATATCGTGCAAAAAGATCTGAAGCTCTCGACCTTGACCTCTCTAAGTGGCTTTAAACATCTGTTAAGTTCAAAAGTTTAAGTTCCTGGCAAAAACCAACGCAGACATGTTCCTGTTTTTAGTTTTCTACATCCCTTGACAACCTAGCTGTTTGTTTGCTACTTTTCCTTTTAATTACCATTTTATTTTAATTAGTTAAAAAAATAAAATAAAATAATTTGTATGCATCCTTTATGATTGCCTATTGTTGTCGTTGTTGTCTACTGTTGTCATCATTCTTTGTTAAAATCAGGTCTCTCTTGTAAATGAGGCCCTGAGGCTCAATGGGACTAACCTGTATAAATAAAGAATGAATGAATATCATCATACAAGCTTTCCTAAATGGCTTAAAGGCACAATGATCTTGGTGTATGTAAACTTGTGATGTGTACATACAGATGAAATGTTTAAGGGTGTGAATACTTTTCACAACACTGTAACTCCTTTGATATGACTGAGAGGACAAGCAGTACCTGGTTTGAGTACGGAGTTGCTCATGGACTGTGGCACTTTATCATTGATGAGCTCCACACACTCACTGGGAAAGAAGCCGACCTGCGAGGAAAATAAAATCATTGTAAAGTCACCTTCTTTATTTTACACTATTACACTTTGTCTTACTAATAGTTTTAATCTATCTCCTTGAATATGTACAGATGGCAGAACTGTTCTAGTGTTTTTAATGATACAAAACAATAGAATACATTTGGTTTTTCTGTTTTGATACAAAGAACATACGGTACTGTTATTTTGTTGAAAATGTTCAAACCATCAGTTTTATATGGGCCCATGTCTAACTATAATTAAAGACAGATGAGTATTTTTATTTCCATTGGAAAGTGCAGCAATTACTTATTTAAAATGTATTTTATTTAAAATTGTCATACATTATCAGGTTTGTTTGGGCTTCATTTACTAAATTATAACTCCAAAATGAGAGCTGGGATCATTACTTTTCTCTCTTTTTCAGACTCTGAGATAACAAAATGAATAAATACTGAATGTGCGTTTATGTTGATTTCTATCAGTGTGTACTGTTTAGCAGCACAACTGGACTCAGTAAAGGAAATTGGTGTAGACAAGCATCATATTTATTAAGTCAACAAAGTTCAAGCTCAATCATCCAGGTACCAAATCCAATAATTGTCAATCGGGTCATCTGGACAGTTTCTTTTTTATAGAGACGTTTTGCCCTCTATCCGGAGAAGTCGACGAGGGACAGGACGGCCCCCAGAAACCTCCTTAAGTGGACCACTGGTTGGTCCACTTGAGTTTACTGCTTGGTGGGGAAACAGTTCACTGGAACTCCTCTGACTGATGAAGCCCTCCGGATAGAGGGCGAAATGCCTCTATAAAAAAGAAACTGTCAAGATGACCTGACTGAGAATTACTGGATATTTATTAAGTCTTACTTTAAAACAATGTTTGTGTTCAGGGCAGAACAGTGGTGAAGTGGTTACAGTTAGTTATCTTTACAGACCAGATTATATATAAAATAAATACAATACATTAAGATCAACTCCACAGAGCTCAGTGTCAGAGCAAACGTATAAATCTCCGCTGCAGCTGTGATTGTAACAACTGTGTTTAAATTCTTCTATTCTGTGACTGACAACATATTTACATCCAGATGTAGACACGGCGAGACAAAATGTTTCTGCATCTGCAGAGGTGTGGGATTACCTGGAAGCCATTTTTGCCTCTCCACCAGGTGGTGTCCTCTTTAGGGGGCATGTCAATCACAGACACGATGTCTCCGACCTGCAGAAACACATCAAAGAGAAATTTAAAGGCTCTGTGCAGACACAGAATCTGTCCCAGAAAACAACACAGCTGCTGTCAGTCAGTGTTAACTAGTGTTTCTACAACCAAACACTGTGTTTCCCTAACCACTAGGTTAGGGGGTGTCCTGCCCCACCCCCTTGAAAGTCAAGTTAATTTTATTTTCTGTATAGTACCAGATACCAGAAATCATTTAAGGTCACCTTTCCATTAGAAAAACATTTTAAATAAACAGACTAAAGAACATTAAGTTATTTATCTTATTCAGACAACAGTATGTCATTTCTGTCTCTACAAGGTCTTATAAGTTCTCCAAATACCCCAGACTGCAGCCTGCAGAACGGGTGGAGCCAAACATGGGTGGAGCCAAATGTTTGACCCAACCCCAATTCACTATATGACTCTGCCCACAATTATCCTCTGGGATTAGTTTTGGGTCCACAACTATTTTCCTCCATATAAATGATAAATAGACAGAAAAACTAAAATTACTGAAAGTAGAAATGATAGAGGCTTTTACATTGTTGATTATTTAACAAGCAGACTGCTCGTGGATGGCTGGATGGATGGATGGATTGGATGGATGAATTATGGATGGATTGGATGGATGATGAATGGATTGGATGGATGATGGATAGATGGATGATGGATGGATTGGATGGACGGATGGGTTACTCAGATGACAGAAAATCAGGATTTTATTGAGACAAATACATCCTGGACAATCTAGCAAGTAATCTGTACTGGGGTAGAGTCCAGGATGTATTCCTGTATAAATATTTTAATTTGTGCAGAGCATAATGAGTCCAACTTGATAGTTCATTTGAATTTTTCATACCATTCAAATGGTTTTATTTTGAAAAAAGACTGCAACAGAGTGGGCCATGCACTCTGTTTACACTTGTTGTAAGGGTCCCACTGCCTGCAGCCTGCCTTGCTGATGGCCGCTGATTACCAACACCTGGCGGCCATCAGCCTGATGAGCCTCTCCATCTACAAAAGGCTGCAGCCCAGTGTGACTCATCACTGGAGCATATCACCTCTCATGGTATAGTACTGTTGAGCTAGATATGTCTAGGTGAAAATAATTTGTTCACCTGTGTTCTCTTTTCCAGTTTCCTGGTTCCTCGTGTTTTTGGATTCTCCTCGTGACCTGATCTGGATCCCTCGGCCTGTCAGGTATTCCTCGTGCCATTTTTGCCTCCAGTTGCCAGCCTTCCTCGCTCCCTTGGACCCTCATTGGATTCACCTCTGCTGCTCTCTCCCTGGACTGAAGGACCAGCTCCCCTCCTTCGAGTTTGGACTGTAAGGACAAGAACCTCCTTCAAACAACCACTCAGGTCTTCCCCTCTGGACCAACATTAACCTGTCGTCCCTCTTTCCAGGAGTTGCTGAACCAGTGTGTGAATATCCACTGTAAATAATAAACACTGTTCTTTTTGTACTTCCCCTGTGTCTGCCTCGTTCTGGGTCTCAAACTATCTGGGTTCCCTGCGTAATCGTAACAGAAATGCTCCAGCCAAAAAAGACCCAGAATGAGACCAAGAGCGAGCAGACAACCCCCGGTACCCCGGAGGAACGGATCGACGGGTTGGACAAAGTTCTACATCAAGTGCTGACACACCAAACCACAGTCCAGTCCAACCTTCAGGAGCTCGGAGGTATGATTTATTCCATTAAACGTCAACTGCAAGCTTCTGCCTCCTCAGCTCCAGTTGTTCCGCCAGCCCCCGTGGCTCCTGGTCCAACTCCTCCTGTTCAACAAATATTCATTAAACCTTCTGAGTTCTTCACCGGAGACCCTGACCAATGTGGCGGCTTCTTGCTGCAGTGCAGACTCGCCTTCGAGGGGGCTCCCTCTCAGTTCTCCTCGGACACGGCCAAGATCACCTTTTTCGTAAGTCAGCTCAAAGGTAATGCTCTCCGGTGGGCTCACTCGTTTCTTCTGAGCCATGATAATCCCCCTGCTACCTATGAACTATTTCGTAGGATTTTTGATTGCCCCCTGCAGACGTCGAACGCCGCCAAGCGTTTGTTGAATTTACGACAGGGCTGTCGTAACACTTCGGAGTTTGCCCTGGAGTTTCGGATCCTTGCTGCCCAAACAGGATGGGACGAGCCTGCCCTCCAAGGTATTTTCCTAAACGCATTATCTGATTTTCTCAAAGACCAGATGGCTACGCGAGACGAGCCAGAGACTTTCGACAAGTTAATAGACCTTGCCATCTCCATCGATGACCGTTTCCGGGAAAGGAGGAGAGAGGCAAACTACAATTCCCATCGACCCCCAACTTCCGGGTTTCCGACTTCTCCAGGTGAGCCCAAATCTGTACCTTTGTACTACATTTCCCAGAATCCTCCCACTTCCGGGTTCACGACCCCTTGCCACGAGTCCGCTTCACCCAAGCATTCCCCCTTGAACTACAACTCCCAGTCTTCCATGCTTCCTGGTTTCAACCAATCATCTTCTTTTCCTCCACGGGATCGCTCCCCCGAGCCCATGCAGGTGGAGCGCGCACGGCTGACTCCTGCAGAGAGATAGCGGCGTGTATCCGCCCGTCTCTGCATTTATTGTGGTAACCCCGGTCATTTTCTGCCCCACTGTCCGTTTCGGGGAAATGAGAACTTCCACCAGTAAAGCGGGAGTTACTGGTGGGAACGTCTGCGTTAACCTCCCCATTCAAACTATTACTTCCCATGGTCATTCAGACACCTGACCATCGCTTTTCGTTTTCTGCTCTCATCGACTCGGGTGCTGAACAAAACCTGATCAGCGCTGATTTAGTTAGAGAACATTCTTTGCCCACTCATGAGATTCCTCCGATTTCTGTCGCCAGCCTAACCGGAGACACTTTGACTCGTATAAACCTGAAGACTACCGATTTGCATGTCATAATCTCAGGAAATCATCACGAGATGACCGATTTCTTCGTGTTTAATTCTCGTACGCCCCAAATAAATTTAGGTTTCCCCTGGCTCCGAAACCATAACCCAGTTATTAATTGGGAGCGCGACTGCGTTGACAAATGGAGCGACAAGTGTCTCAGTAACTGTCTTCGCTCCGCCATTAAAGAGTTCCCTCGGAACACGCCTCCTCTAGAGGAGATCGACCTCACCTCTGTTCCTGCTGAATACCGCGACCTAGTGGCAGTCTTTAGCAAGCAACGCGCCTTGTCTCTTCCTCCTCATCATCCCTATGACTGCTCGATTGACTTATTACCTGGTGCCCCCTTGCCGTCAAGTAGACTTTATAAGCTTTCTGGTCCCGAAAGGGAGTCTATGTCCAATTATATTAATGAATCCCTTGCCTCAGGTATTATTAGACCCTCGACCTCCCCTTTGGGAGCCGGTTTCTTTTTCGGTTCTAAAAAGGATAAAACTCTCAGGCCGTGTATTGATTACCGCGGATTAGACAACATAACTGTTAAAAATAAGTATCCGCTCCCCCTCATTGACTCGCTGCAGGAACAATTACAGTTGGCTTCTTGCTTCACTAAACTCGACTTAAGAAATGCTTACCATCTCGTGCGTATTAAGGAGGGCGACGAGTGGAAAACAGCATTTTGCATTCCTTTGGGTCATTTTGAATATTTAGTTATGCCTTTTGGGTTGACCAATGCCCCCGCGGTTTTTCAGGCGCTCGTCAATGGCGTCCTGCGCGACCTTATTGGTAATTTTGTTTTCGTCTACCTCGACGATATCCTTATCTTTTCTCGCGACCCCTCTCAGCACACGGCTCACGTCCGCACGATTCTTTAGCGGCTGCTGGAGAATCAGTTGTTCGTTAAGGCGGAGAAGTGTGAGTTTAATACCTCCACCGTCTCATTCTTAGGTTTTATTTTTGAGGGCGGACGTTGTCGAACCGACCCCGAGAAGACCAGGGCGGTAGTCGACTGGCTGACCCCCGAGTCCAGGAAACAGTTACAACGTTTCCTGGGCTTCGCAAATTTCTACAGGCGATTTATTAAAAACTATAGTCGTGTTGCCGCCCCTCTGTCTCAGCTCACTTCCACCGCCCGAGCCTTTCACTGGACCCCAGAGGCCGAGGCCGCCTTCAAGAAACTCAAGTCTCTCTTTTCCTCCGCACCCATCCTCTGCCACCCAGACCCTACGCACCAGCTCATTCTGGAGGTGGACGCCTCCAACACTGGGGTAGGGACAGTCCTTTCCCAGCGATCATCCTCGGACAATAAGGTTTATCCCTGCACCTTCTTTTCTCGACGTCTCTCCCAAACGTAGCGCAATTACGACGTGGGCAACCGCGAGCTGTTGGCAGTCAAGCTCGCATTAGAGGAATGGCGGCACTGGTTGGAAGGCACTGAGACCCCTTTTTTGATTTGGACGGACCATAAGAATTTGACCTATCTTAGGAACGCCAAGCATCAGGCCCGTTGGTCGCTTTTTTTTTAATAGATTCAATTTTGTCCTAACTTTCCACCCAGGCTCAAAGAACGTCAAGCCTGATGCCCTGTCCAGGCAGTTTGCCCCTCCTGACTCGCCTGAGAGCTCCAATAACATTGTTCCCTCCACCTGTATTGTCGGCCCCCTCTCCTGGCCCATCACCGCTACCGTCCAGGAGGCCCTCCTCTCCGAACCCGATCCTGGTGGTGGTCCCCCCGGTACCCTCTTTGTCCCTTCCAGCGTGCGGTCTGACGTACTCCAGTGGCTTCACTCGAACAAGCTTTCTTTCCATCCTGGAGTCAACCGCATGCTCGCCCTCACAAAGACTCATTTCTGGTGGCCCTCCATGTCCAGAGACATTAAGGACTTTGTTTCGGCCTGTCCCGTCTGTGCCAGAAACAAGTCTGGTACACAACCTCCGGCTGGCCCTCTGCTTCCCCTCCCGACCCCTAGTCGCCCCTGGTCCCACATCGCCCTCGATTTTGTGACCGGTCTTCCCCCATCTGACGGCAACACCACCATCCTCACGGTCGTTGACCGTTTCTCCAAGGCCTCTCACTTTGTTCCCCTCCCTAAGCTCCCCTCTGCCCTTGAAACCGCTCACTTTCTTACCCTCCATGTTTTCAGGCTCCACGGGATTCCTTCGGACATCGTCTCCAACCGAGGCCCGCAGTTATTCTCCCAGGTCTGGCACTCCTTCTGCAAGTCGCTCGGGGCGTCCGTTAGCCTTACCTCCGGCTACCATCCTCAGGCTAACGGGCAAGCTGAGCGCTGCAATCAGGAGTTGGAGTCCACCCTGCGTTGCCTGGTCGAGTCCAATCCATCGTCCTGGAGCCAACACTTGATTTGGGTGGTGATATAGGAATGATTATTTTGATGCTTTTATGTCAATTAATACTTATACTCACTTTTGATGCAGCTTATCTGCCCAAAGTCAGGCCTGTGCTGCAGATGTGTTTTGGAGTAATTAAAGTCCTCTGGGGGATGCTCTAACCAGAAGACCTGGCCCATCTTAAAGGTTACGGTGACCCAGGTTTTGAAGGACATGTTTTTATGAAGCCATCGCTCTG